CGTGAAATGACTTTCTTTATTGCTTCCATGATTTTCAGCCCCAACTCCATCTTGTTAGACACCAAGAGTGCCAAAGCTGCCTTCAATTTGTTATGTTTGCCCTTGAATACCTATGTCCATGTTGTATTTTCAGACATTTTTGTACCTGTTTTTCTCCACAGATTAATAGTAAAATGCATTGTGTTTGATATTTCTACAAATTCTTTCTTTGAACAGATCTTCTAGATGTGCACATTTATTAATGACATAGCTTTATAAAAAACGCTCTTGCTTCTGTTCTAGCAGACACTTTCCAGCTGCTGCCTGGTTTTCCTGCTGGCAGTTGCAGTAACTTGTTCTAGGAGCTGGTCCTTCTTTTAGGCTTACCCTGTAATGCTCAGAAAACCCTTTGATCTTATCTCCTGGTCTTAAGAATGAATCAAACATAACAAATAATAACAACCTTAGGACTTATAATAACACACCTGTACCCTTTTATACTTCTGGAGGTTGGAAGTTTATAATGGTCTACACTGAGCCCAAATCAAATACTGTGTTTAGTCTGCAGGCACCAGGGAACATTTCTTTGCCTTTTCAACTTCTAGAAGCTGCTTATATTTTTCTGTTCATGGTCCCATCCTCCATCCTCAAGGCTCATCATGCAGCATCTTCAACTCTTGATTTTTAATTGTTTATTCAATTGTCACATTAGTTTCTCTGATTTTTAATCCTCCTATCTCCCTTTTTTGGTCTTGTTTTTTTTAAGACATGGTTTCTCTGTGTAGCTGTGGCTGTCCTGGAACTCACTCTGTAGACCAGGATGCCTTGAACTCACCTGCCTTTACCTCCCGAGTACTGGGATTAAAGGCGTGTGACACCACCACCTAGTTCTATCTCCCTCTTATTAGGGCCCTGCTGAAGTCATTGCAACCATGCACATGTTCTAGGATGTTCATGCTGTTTTTTGTAAACTTGACACGCACCTAGACATGTCTAGAAAGATGTAATTAATTTTGAAAATGCTTTTTAAAGATTAGCTTGTAGGTAAGTCTGGGATGGATTTCCTTGATAAATGATTCATATAGGAAGCTGAGTCCATTGTGGGTGGTGCCACTCCTGAGAAAAGAAAGCCGACTGAGTAAGCCATGGGGAGCAGGCCAGTAAGCAACATTCCTCTATGGCCTCTACTTCAGCTTCTGCCTAAGGTTCCAACTATGACTTCCTTTGATGATAGATTTTAATACGGAAGTGTAAGTCAAATCAACCCTTTTCTCCCCAGTTTGCTTTTGGTCATGGTGTTTTTCACAGCAATAGAAACCTATGAGACATAGGGAAAACGCTCCACCACTCCAGAACCCCTAACTTAATCACATTTCCTCATGTGATTACATCATTTCCTCATCTAAGCCAATATCTTTAGAGGTTCTGCAGACAAGGGATTGAACACTTTTGGGGTCAGTTGTTGAATATAGTGCAAAAGCACCCCTTTTGAAGGGTGTGTTTCTGAGTTTCTATGTGGATAGTTACTTGCAGGCATCTCTAACTTTGCTTTGGAACCAATGACCAGGTACTGTTGTCTCTTCTTGAAGCAAGATCTGGAGGTCCAAAAGGCAGAAGTTGCCCATTTTGTGGCATTCGAAAACACCATTCCTGAGCTGTGTCTAGAGGCACATAGACCCCTTGAATCTGTTTCTTTCTTTCTTTCTTTCTTTCTTTCTTTCTTTCTTTCTTTCTTTCTTTCTTTTGTTTTTTTGTTTTTTTTTCAAGACAGGGTTTCTCTGTATTGTTCTGGAGGCTGTCCTGGAGCTCCCTCTGTAGACCAGGCTGGTCTCGAACTCACAGAGATTCACCTGCCTCTGCCTCCCGAGTGCTGGGATTAAAAGCGTGGGCCACCAACGCCTGGCTGAATCTGTGTCTTTCTATCATTCCTACCAACATACTTTCCAGTCAGATTGCTTTTCCTGCCCTGAAATTACAGGCACCATGCCAAGGGCTATAAACACAAATTGTTTTACTTCAGTGGAATTCATTTAGTAGAAATATTTGGTGGTGTTAACAGAATTATCTATGATGATGCAATTTTTCTAGATCCCGACTAAAATAATAGAGTTACTATAGCACATGTGAGAATGAAGCACTTGGCATGTAGCTACTATGAATAAAGGACTGAATTTTAATGTACAGTTTAAGCTAATTCCTTTGTAAGTAGTCACTGATGCTGGTGGCCAGCATCCTTGGCTAGTACAATTCAGAAAAAAAATCATATTTCTGCTTCACAGTAATGAGACAAGGAACATTTTCTTCTATGTTGAAAGAGCTACTCCTTATTTAGGGGCAATAAAACTTTAATTCTGGCCGGGCGTTGGTGGCGCACGCCTTTAATCCCAGCACTCGGGAGGCAGAGGCAGGAGGATCTCTGTGAGTTCAAGACTAGCCTGGTCTATAAGAGCTAGTTCCAGGACAGCCTTCAAAGCCACAGAGAAACCCTGTCTCGAAAAACCAAAAAAAAAAAAAAAACAACTTTAATTCTGTCATTTAGATGAATTGACATAATTTTTTTTTGGTTTTTACGAGACAGGGGGTCTCTGTATTGTTTTGGAGGCTGTCAGACCAGCCCGGCCTTGAACTCACAGAGATCCACCTGCCTCTGCCTCCCGAGTGCTGGGATTAAAGGCGTGCGCCACCACCGCCCAGCAAATTGACGTAATGTTAAAGCACCATATATACCCTTAATCTCAGAGAAGCCTCTCTTTCCAGTGACCTTTGTTGAGTGAATAGAGACTTCTGGTTGAACAATGTACTCAGAGTAAATGACAGTGCAATGAGTGCTCAGTCCTAAAGAAGACATGTATAAAATTTCTTCCAAGCTCAGGGAACATTGTGGAAGAGGGAAGTGGAAAGATGTAAAATCCTGAAGGTAGGAGAAGGGCTGTGAAGCAGCCTTCTGGATAATACAGTTGTAACTATGAACACTCAACAACTGTGGATGATTGTGCTGGGTCTGCACAGGAATGGGTACACCAACAGTCAGGCATGGAGGACATGCTCAGAGGGGAGTCATTGCCCTTGATAGTGTGTATCCCACTGAGAACCACGATTGGCTTCCAATGCATTTTCCTAATCCAATGCTCACACAGATGACCCTGGGTCACAAAACCAAACAAAAAGGCATGAATCTGGGAAAGGGACGTCTTGATGAGGGGCAGCTTGATGAAGAAAATGTAGCTAGAATGCATTATATACATGCATGAAATTGTCAATGAACTAAATAAAAATCCAATTACTTTTATGGTTCCTGTGCAACTGGAGATGGTATGTAACAGTGCTCACTGTGTATCAATTTCCAACTCCTCATTCATTAGTTTGAAATCAGCCATGGTGAAACAATGTACTCCATGGGAGCCATTAAATTCTGTGGCTCAGGGCTGCTTCTGCTCTAATCTTGAAGAGCTGGGTTGTTTATCATTGACATGCATATGTCAATTGGAGTAGACTACCTTCTGAACCAAGCTTGGTGATGCATGCCTCTAGTTCTAGCCACTCTGACTAAGACAAGAGTATTGGAAGTTTAAGGAATGCTTGGCTACAGAGTGAATTCAAGGCCAACCTGGGAAACTAAGTGAGATTGTTTAAAAAATACCAAGAAGAGAGCTCAAATTGTAGCTCAGGGGTAAAATGTTGGTCTAGCACATGCATATCTCTAGGTTCAATGCAGGGGGTAGGAAGAGAGGGGAGAAGAGAGATGTGAGTTGCCTTAGCACAATTTGAATTTCCTGGCAGCCAAATAGAAAAAGGAAATACTATCACCCACATAGCTCTAAGTGTAGAGTCATGAGGTGGCTGTGGGTGTGGAGCAACCGTTCTCTTATTACTATAGCTTATGCAGGCTCTTCCCTTAACCAGCCTAGAATAAACAATGACCTTGACAACAACTCTGTCGAAAATCAGGGTGTTTAAGGCTGCCATTATCACATCCATAAGGGCATTCCCTCTAACTTGATAACAGAATAACATAGTCAAAGTCTACAGTTTTCAGATGTCTGATATAATCCATAAACACAGCTCAGAATGCCTGAGAAAGCCTGAATCTCACAATCTTATATTACACATCATTTACTTACTCCTCTCAATCTTTTAAGACACTGACCACATGTATAGCACCAACCTAGATGTGAAGGATTCATTCATTCACTCATTCAAGACAATGGACCCTCAAGATGCACCAGACCATAGCGGGGCACACCTTTAATTCCAGCACTCTGGAGGCAGAAATAGGCAGATCTCTGGGAGTTCAAGGCCAGCCTGGTTTACAGAGCAAGTTCTAGGACAACCGGAGCTACACAGAGAAACTCTGTGTTGGGGAAGTCCTGTGCATTTGTCAATAAAGCACTGTCTGGCCAATAGGGAATCTAGATAGGAGGGACTAGGAGCCCAGAAGGACTCTGGGTAGGAAAAACACAAGGAGATTCAAGATGTAACGCCATGGGGTAGGAGCCCGGAACTATTCTCCGGTAAGAGACATACTTAGATTAACAATTATGGGGTAATTACTTAAGTCAGAGCTAGCCAGTAAGAAACAAGCAAGGCCAACAGCTTCATAATTAATATAGCCTCCTGTGTGTTTATTTGGGACTGATGTGGCTCTAGAACTAGGCTGACGGGAAGGCTTCTCTCAAAGAAAAAGCTTCCCTTTACAACCCTGTCTTGAAACAACAACAGCAAAATACTCAAGATGCAAAGTCAAGAGGAATAGGCTTTTGTAAGACTCATCATTCACAGAATAACTTACTAGATTTCATGGCTGAAATTTGGAGGCAAGTGAGGCAATTGTCTTAGGTGCAAAGTTTAAGAGCATCACAAAAATCATCAATGAAGAACATGTTATTTATTAATGGAAAATTAATACAAGGGGATGGAGAGGTGGTTCAGCAACAGTTAGAACAATGACTGCTCTTCCAAAGGACATAGGTTTGATTTCCAGTACTCACATGGCCAGTTCAAAACCATCTGTAACTCCAGTTCCAGGGGTTCCAAGACTGTCTTCTGACCTTTGCAGGCACCAGGAATGCAAGTGGTGCTCAACGATACACAACATCCATATGCTTAAAATAATAATAAAATTAATGCAAAAATCTGTAATTCAGAAAACTCCAAAGTTTAATACATGCTATATGAGATAGAGAGATAGCTCTATGTTTAAGTGCACTTGTTCTTGCAGAAGACCTGGATTTGATTTTCATCACCCACATGGTGCCTCACAATTGTCTGTAACTCCAGCCCCAGAGGATCCAACACCTTCTTCTGACCTCTGAGCTGCTTTAACATACATGTAGGCACAACACTAAAATACATAAGATGAAACAAAACAAATCTAAAAAAAACCACGTTGTTTATGGAGCCTGAGTTATTGTGCAAGGGTAGCAGTCATTTCCAGTAAACCAGGGGTAATACGTTTCCCGTGTCCCCCTAAGATGGGTTTTCTAATTTTACAATGGCTTGTATGATAAACTAGGCATGGTGTGTGTGTGTGTGTGTGTGTGTGTGTGTGTGTGTGTGTGTGTGTGTACTCTTAAAAAATTCTACTTAGTTGAAAACATAGATTACTATATATAGGTATATACATTTTCCCTCATGTCTCCCATGCAAAAAAGGCACTGCTTCCTCTTTCTTAGTGGTTCACTTATGCCTCACAACACCAAATTGTGATGTCTTAGGCTTACCATTACTGTGATGAAACACCATGAACAAAGCAACTTGGGCAGGAAAGAGTTTATTTGACTTACATTCCCACATCACTGTTCATCACTGAAGGAAGTCAGGACAGGAACCTGGAGGCAGGATCTGATGTAGCACCATGGAGGGGTGCTGCTTTCTGGCTTACTCACATAGCCTGTTCAGCCTGCTTTCTTATAGAACCCAGGGCTACCAGTCCCGGGATTTGACCACCCACCATGGGCTGGGCCTTCCCCCATTGATCACTACTTGACAAACTGCCTTACACCAAATCTTATGGAAGCATTTTCTCAATTGAGGTTACTTCCTTTCAGATAACTCTAACTTGTGTCAAGTTGACATAAAACTAGCCAGCATAGGTAGATTCTGTCAACACTGCCCCTATTTACAGAAGGGAAAAGTAAGATTTATGCAGACTTTTAAAAGAACACAGATAAGACAGGAAAATAGCACAGATAGTTTGTAGCTCAATTGGTAGAATGCTTGCTTAGCATGCACAAAATCAAGGGTTTGATCCTTAGCACTGCAGATACTGGGAATGGTGGTACATGCTTGCAATATCAGTCTTTGGGAGAGAGAGGAAGGAAGATCAGAAGTTCAAGGTCATTCACAGTTACTTAGCAAGTTTGAGGACTGTCTGAGAAACATGAGATTATCTAAAAAAACAGAACAGAAAGTAATATTGCAATATATTCATGATACATCAAGACGGTATGTTAGATGTGTTAATTTTTGGTTGAAAATATTTTTAACAATTATTTTTGTTTTTAATTATGTATATATGCATGTGTACATGTGTAGGTACCTGCAAACAGAGTTCAGAAGAAAGAGTCTGATCTTCTAGAGCTAGAGTATAGTTTGTTAGGAGCCACCAAATGTAGATGATGGGAACCAAACTGGGGTCCTCTGCAAGATCAGCAAACACCCTTAACATCTGAGCCATCTCATTAGCATCTCGGTTGAAGATACTTGTGAAGAATTTGAGTTGGTGTAACTTGGTATGACCTAGAGACAGTGCTAAATGTTAGACTTTCCTTGGCAGGTAGGTACATGTAGCTCTTCTTGCTGTCCAAGAGCTATAGGACTGATGTAAACAATTGATTTGTGTCTAATGTGGTGCATGCCATGCCAGGGTCTCTGGAGCTGTGGGTTCACAGAGGAAATGAGGGGATCATCAGGGCAGGGATATTGTGTAGGCAGAAGCAAGGACCACGATTCCATGTCTGACCACACAGTGTTCCAGGTTGGAGAGCAAGAGGCAGTGTCAAGGCTGTCTTCTGTCCTTTCTGCAAGACATTCTCCCTGTGCTATTGCTGATAATACCTGGCTGTAAGCATCAAAGGACACCCTGGAGATAAATGTGCTCAGTGCACTGAATATTTGACACATGTACGTAAGAGTTCTTGGGACATGTGTGACTGAAATGTGTTTAATGCATTTCAAAACTCTTAAAAATTTCCACCAGCCTCTGAGAGCCAGTCACTGGGTTCTCCTCCTCAGGGATATAGCTACCAATTTCTTGTGACTCTTTCAGAGATGGCATATGTGCAGATAGGCAGTTATTCTTTCCTCATGTCATAGTGCTGACATGTATGCACTTCTTTATATAGCAGAGCCTCCAGCACATTATCAAGAGGGAGGTGCTTTAGAATGGCAGGCACATCTAACCATACGTTATATGCCATTCTAAGCCAGAGGCTCTAAGCCTCAGCCTTATTGATATTTGAAAATGGCTACATCATTCCTTGTCATGGGCAGCAGTTCTGCATACTGTGGCCTGCATACTGAGTTCCACCCACTGGATGCCAGGAATACACTGCTAGTCCCTATAGTGCCTGGGCAGGGCAGCTGAAAATGTCCCCAGGGGAAAAGGAGCAATATCATTCCCACTAAGAACCAGTGTTGCAGTTGTGCAAGCCACAACCAGTAGCACAACACTCAAGAGGCAACTTGAGCTACAGAGTAAGAAAGATTGTGTCTCGAAACAAAACAAAACAAAGCACCCCCAACTGAACAACAATCCCATAGTGTTGTAAATCTTGTGGCATTTCTGGAAAAAGAGCAGACAATGAAGAGGGGGGGCATAGGATTCCATGTTATGAAATTCTAAATATGTGAAAAGAACATTGGGATCCAGAAATCAGAACCAATTGCGCTTCTACAGCTACTGAAGAAACTTTTTGAGATGACCAATTCACTTTCTCTCTCTTCTCCTCTCTTCCTCCTCCCTCCCTCCCCCTCTCTCTGTCTCTTTCCCTCCCTCCCCTCCTGTCTCCCTTCTTCCCCCCTCTCTCTGTCTCTTTTCCTCCCTCCTCCCCCTCTCTGTCTCCCTCTCTTCCCCTCCCCCCATTCTCTCCAGCACAAAATGAGAAACATAGTTACAGGAAAGAAAATGACATGATTGGCCCTCCATTCCAGTGCCTGACAAGTAGAACTCCAGCGACAGACTGGGATTGTTACCCTCAGCTTTGTTCTTAGGACTGGAGCATGTTCAAATAAGAATGAACCGTGCATCAAAAGTTAGCTGCGGGGGCTGGAGAGATGGCTCAGAGGTTAAGAGCACTGACTGCTCTTCCAGGGGACTTGAGTTCATTTCCCAGCAACCACATGGTGGCTCACAACCATCTACAATTCAGTCTGGTGTCCTCTTCTGGCATGTAGGCAGAACACTGTATATGTAATAAATAAATGAATCTTAAAAAAAAAGTTACCTGCAAGTGTGGAGTCTGCAGACTTTTCTTGCTATTAAACTGCATCAATGTGGAGAACTGAGATTGCATAGGAAAGCAGAGGAAGAGGAAGAAAAGTAAAACACTCTTAATTCTTTTGCCAGTGAGTTACCACATTTTGATAACTTGCTGAATTATTCTTAATTATTTTCCATGTTCATATATAAAAATTTGTGTCTAATTAGCTGCAACTATATTACACCCACATACAACAGATAATTCACTTGGTACATAATATTTTGGAGCCCAATTGTGTCCCATTTAATCCAGTATGAATCCTCTTTGCTCCCTAAATATCATCAAAGTAACTTTTATACGTTTTTTTATATTTGAGGATAGAAGATATTACGAGTTATTTCATTTCATTGGAAATTCCATGACCCCATTTTAAGTAGATTGCTGTTGTGTGTGTAAGAGGGAAACAGACAGAAAGTGCATGTGTATGTGGAAGAGAGAGACAGAGAGAAAGTGTGTGTGTAAGAGAGACAGGTGGAAAGTGTGTGTGTATATATGGTGTATGTGTGTGTGTGTGTGTGTGTGTGTGTGTGTGTGTTTACTTTCAGTTGAACAATCATCTGGAAAAAGAGAAGGTGAAACTAACCTGTCTGAAAAAAATCTGTCCCCGAATGAGGAAAATGTAAGCGTTTAGTCATTTCAGTCAAGCCGAACACAAAGGAAGGCTGTGGACAGCAGGGTGAATTATATACGCTACGGTGCTCCTCCCCCGCCCCCACCCCGGGAAACTACGACCACGGAGCACCAGCCACTGGAGGTGGAGCGTCCTGTGTTGGAGAAATAGGGTTCTTTCCACCGAGAGTAGAAGACCGACCACATTACAAAGTATCTTCCAGAGCCAAGAGGTGGCCAGGAGGGCAGGGCAAGGCTGAGTGGCTGAGCTGAACACGTGATACTGCCAGACTGCCTCCTGGGCCCTCTGTGAGCCTGAAGCTGAAATCGACTTTTGCCTCTGGCAGGGAAATAAACTTGTCAGTTTCCGAGTGCTTCAGACCCTCAGGCCAAAGGAGCTAGGACCTACAGTAGAAATTTGACTTTGTGTATCAAGAACCTCACAGCAATAAGGTAAGTTGTTTGTCACTCTGAGAAACAAACCTGAGAGCAGTGACCTAGAAATCCATACCACCACTGTCAATTAAAAAAATCAACTTGAAAATAATAGATTGCTGACAGAGGCAAGGGCTGTATTTAATCTAAATTAGAGTTTGACCTTGGGAGCAGAAGAAATGTGGTTAATCTGTAGGCAATGGTGGTAAAGGGGACAGGGTTAAATATAGAAGGAAATAAAAGCTGTTGGAATAAGTGGCCAGCCAACTTAACTCATGCGTGCTTGTAAAACAATCTATTTAAGGTGTCTTTTAGGAGAGTGATCAAAAGGAAGGATATAACTGTGATTTAAACTTAAAGCAACGCCTGCAAAACTGAACACGAACAAAAATAGCTTCTACCATTGCCCTCTTCAATCCCCACAACATTTATGTGGTCTAGCAAACAACAATGATTTTGTACATGAACTGCTTTAAGTTCTAAATGTATTAGTTCCAGTTTATGAACTGATCACAGAATCTTCTAAAACCTTTCAGGAGAGGCTGTTTTACTGTGAATGAAAAAATGTTGACAACATATATTAAAATAGTAAAGTGACTCACTTCTTCAGAATGTCAGAAAAATTACCCAACCCAAAATAATGAGTTGTTTTCAGCAAACTTGTGCTCGAGACATGAAATGTCTTACCCAGGAGCTAAGAAAAATAAACGCAGACACATACAGCTGTAGTCTCTCTGTTTTATTTTTAAATAATCAAACACTGCACTAAGTAGTATTGATGTGTGGTGCCACTGTTGTTTTTCTTTTAGCAAATAAAATTAATCTAATGCAACTACTGAGTAGTATCAATCATCGGGGCAATTAGCAGAATATTCATTCCATCAAGAACTTCTTGAGTGAATTATTTGGCAAATATTTGCCAATTATTTGGCAAATAATTGGAACAGTAAACCTCAAATGCAGTGTGTTCATGCATGATCTACTTTAGGTGTCATTTTGATTTTCGTAAAATGTATTTCTCTATTGCATCTGATAAAGTAGAACACCAGATTTTGTTCTTTCCACAATAATCTCCTTATTGCTACTTTTTTTTTCAAATCCTATTATATGCTTGGAATCAGGAATAATGTCTATTGCTCTTATGTAGTACTGATTCCTCTAACTTGGCCAACAAGGCCAAGCAATAGGCATGCATCAAGACATACACCCTGAAAGGAGGTCAGACTGATCATAACCTTCCACCTTTGGAACAATCAGACCCTTCCCACCCCACTTTCGGGCCTCCTGTCTTGCTCCAAGCTGCCGGACTCCAAAGGCATCACGTGGCAGCGTGGAGCCCGCCTCCTGATGACGTCACAGCACTCGCAGCGGACGTGCTGAAGAAAGGATGCTCTAGGATGCTGTCCAGGTGGACGGCCACGCTGCAAGATGCGGCACTGCAGGTAAGGGGTGTGCGGTGCCCGGATGCCCTTCCTGGCACTTTCAATAGTGCAGACGCTGCAGGCGGAGCCCAGGTTGGTGGTCTGCTGCGCTAGCAGCGCCCCCTAAAAGCGAACGTGGGGCCTTTGGCTGCTGCAATGCTCGCTGCCCACAGATGCTTCCTCCTGCTCCTTTTGCTGTTGCAAGCATCAGATGGGAAGTGGCCTGGTGCAGGTCCATGCGTGAGTTGGGTCTTGGCGTGTTCACCTGCAGAAAGTGGGCAGGGACCAGACAGAAAGATAAGAGCCTCTTTCAAGGAGGGGGAGAAAATTTGTACCAACTACAACATATGGATTCTAAGGACAGAGACCAAGAACAAGAGCCGCTTTGAAAAGATAACCATAAACCATTTTCCTTCTGCCATCGTGCTGGCTCAATAATGATATCTTTATTAATTCTTCTCACAGAGGTTGCTTCTCAGCAGTGAGCCTAATATCATTCAAAGCAAAAACTTGCTGGGGAATGGCAACTTCTTAGCTGCAATATTAAGGCCAGATGTGCAGTCTAAATCGCTTTGCATTAATTTTGCAAGGTTCCAGCATTTAAACGTATTTTTTTCAAGCAGGTGTTTCTAGTAGATTTAAAACTAACAGCATTCAATAAAATACAGTTTGCAAAGATAATGGGCCACTGTAAAACATGGCTGTATCTCTAAGAGGAAAATGGATACTTAGCGAGAGCTGAGGGTTGGAGATAACCCAGACCTTTAGAATCTCCAGCATTCTTCTTAATTGCATTGATGCATAATTAGCTCACTGAAGGAAGGGGCTTGATGACTCAGCGGCAGATGGAGGGGTCAGGTGACTTCAGTCCCAGCATGACAACCTGTGTGTGCATGTGTTGAAGGGGTATTTTAATGCCTCCTTTCCCACTAATCCTGTTTACATTCTTTCTGATCTGTGGCCAGGACATGTGTGGGCACCCTATGGAGGGGGATTCACATTACCTAACATTCTTTTCTGAAAACCTGATGTCTCTAGAAGGCCAGACATCAGTCAACTACACTGGAACTTACCGTTTGAAAATTTCCATCCACCTGCAACTTTGGTGAAACAGTGCTATTCAAACTGATAATTCAAGATGGAGTTTCGTTCAGACTTTGGGATATCTTGATAGGTTGTTGTATAGTTCGTTCAGTGATTTATTTCCTTTGTTTTAGGTTAGCTACAAGTATTAAGATTAGCCAGTACTATAGCTCAGTGTTAGGTCATGTGCTTCATAATTGAGAGACCCAGGATTCCATCTCTAACAGCAAAAACAAAGCACCCTCATGTCCCCACCCTTTCTTCTAAACCAACTCTTCTTTTTCGTTTTAAAAAATTTTTAATTAGAACCTAGCTTGTTTTACATGTCAATCCCAGTTCCCTCTCCCTCCCCTCCTTCCCTGCCTCTCACTGACCCCTATCCATCCCCTTTCTGCTCCCGAGGGAGGGTGAGGCCTTCCATGGGGGAATTATCAATGTCTGTCATATCATTTGGAGCAGGGCCTAGGCCCTCCCCCGTGTGACTAGGCTGAATATCCCTCTGTGTGGAATGTGCTCCCAAAGTTCATTCGTGTACTAGGGATAAATACTGGTCCACTGTCAGAGGCCCCATAGTCTTCCCAGGTCTCCTGACACCCACTATTATGGGGTCTGGAACAGTCCTATGCTGGTTTCCCAGCTATTAGTCTGGGGTCCATGAGCTCCCCTTTGTTCAGGTCAGCTGTTTCTGTGGGTTTCCCCAGCCTGGTCTTGACCCCTTTGCTCATCACTCCTCCCTCTTTGCAACTGGATTCCAGGACTGAACCAACTCTTGACAGCAAAGCAGGTGATGGAGGCAGGTGAATTAAGACACTTGGAACTAATTCTGGTTTTGCAGCTGTATAATCTTGGAATAGTCACTATTATCTGTTCAGACAGACCTCAGCTTTCTCATTTTGAAATTAAGAAAGTCATTTGGTTTATGGTTTCTTAACTTTATGATGGCTGTGAGGGGTATCCGATTCACTGTAGGATGTTTAGCCTAGTTAGTTTATGGCCTCCAGTATGCAGCTCTTCCTTCTGTTGTGACAACCCAAAATGTCAGCAGATATTGCCACCTGCTTAAGGATTCCATTGACCCTGGTTAAGAGTTACTGATTTAGATGATAGCTTTATTCTTTTTTCCACCTTGGTACTGGGTTATGCATTGTATGTTAGGCAAGTCTTCTACCACTGAGCCATAGTCCTGACCCATAGAAATCCTTTAAATGTTTTTCCAGCCCTTACATTCCAGAATTGGTTCTTATGATTTGTTTGCTGTGGAGCCCTTGGTCTGAAATCATCATATTGGGTATACATGAATTATCAATGTAAAGAAATTCTTTATTGAAGGTTATCATTCACAGTTTCTGAGGGTAGAGCAGAGGGATGCATGCATGGCATTTGTAGTCCAGTGGCTCGGCTGACACAAAAGTGAGTGTTAGGGACAAAAAAACGTTCATCAGCCAATCATGGGCTAAAATCTGCTGGGACGCATCTGCCTGTGGGCATAATATGTCTCAATCTGGGGAAAAAGTGTCCAGTGAAAATGCCATTCTTCCTTTCTGCAAGGATGAGAATGACAGGCTGAACTGGAGGTATCTGAAGGATGGAGTGAGATGCTGTGTTCTGGGGCCAGGTATGGTGAAGTAAGGATGGCAGTAATGTCCCCATAGTGATGAGGAGCCCAAACATGACTGCTCACTGAACCAGCAATCTGGTAGGTATCTCAGGGAAGCTATGCATGCAAACTTTAAGATTCAGGATAGGACTATGTGTCTTGAAGGTCTGGCATTGACATTTATGAGGGTGGACAATTGGCCACATCACTTCTAATCTTAGAATAGGTACAATATATGTAAGATGGGGTCAACTAGTACTTGCTGGTCCTGCTTCTTCACTTTTAGAAAGGACCAGGCTGACGGAAGAAGTGTAAGATAGGAATATCCCAAGACACATTATACTATGGTCCTGGTGCTGTTGCAAGTTTGGAAACATGTTTACTAAGCTTGAACATATTTTCTTATCTCCTGATCCTGGGGCTTGGGGATGTACCCTCTTCCAATTCTTTTGTTGTGAGCTCGTGTCTGCCTGCCCCTCCTCTCCTGGCCTCATCTCAGGAAATGGTTTGCTTTTAGTGAAACAGGCTGCTGCTGAAATCTAGGATGATAGCAGCTGGCTGTATCTATTCCTCAGGTGGCATTTGTGCTCAGGCTTCTTTCCCCTGTGTCCAGGTAGC